CATTGCATATGTTTGTCTTGAATTAATCCATTCACTTTCACTATACTTAAACTACGCTTTTACTTCCTTTTTGTGATACTCAACTCTTGATTAAAAGCTATAAGACTTTAGAGGGAGGATGATGAAAAAGATACCATAATCTCTACAGTATGCTTTTGAACAGACCTTGCTGACAATTTACAAGCGTTGTTTCAAATCCTAAACAGTGGAGTTATAAGGAAGATAATCCCTAGTCAACTCCTTTGATCCTAAGAAGTAGGAGTTTTCTTTTCACACAAATTGAAACCTTTAATCGTAACCTAGGGCAGGGTAGTTTCTCAATTAATTCAAATGCGCCGTCAATCGCAAGCTTTCACTTCGTACACAGCAAATAGTATTGGAGACGTCCTTCCAAATCAAAAGACGGTGATGGTTCCCCGTAAAATAGGCAGTCACTATCTCTCAAAAGAAAAGTCTTCTAAGTCAAAACCTATGAAGGAGACTTAAGAAAAAACTGGGGCATCCCGCTGACTGTAATCACAGAAGAAACAGTTCAGGCAAAAGGAAGGGATAATAAAATCAAAAAGAGGTTGCTACAAATCCTCTACAATAGAAAAATGTTACAAAAAATGACTGCCTTCTCAAATAAACTTCCAGTATCTGAACCATCACCAAAATATCATTCCTGGCTCAATTGGAATCTAAACGCATAAATAACTCAGTATAAGGCTGAAGAACATCACAAAGAATAGGTTGGGTACAAATAAGGTTTGAGCCTTTATCCTTTGTTTCTTTAACTGTGAACCAGGCCACGTTACAACCCGTTAAAAGTCCTAACTGAAGCATAGGTTAGTTCGAAAGCATATTGTTACAAAAGGTATCCTGACTCCTATAAGGCTTACTATAAATCTTGAGATGAATTCATATTCTTACAAAATTCTGTCGTTTAGTAAAAATGCATTTTCACAACTTCAAGACAGACATAAGCTTTGCATTTCTAATACCACTGTTTGCATATAACTAATTGTTCGACAACAGAGAAATTTGCACAACGAATATCCAATGAATGGAAATCCTCTTAATGAACAAAATCACTTCAAATGGAAAGAAACATCCAATAACAAACCTTCCATGATCAAGAGGCATGACATGTTATTGTCCAACTCATCTATGGTATTTCAGTCAAGAGTCCAAGAATCTCTCAAAAGTGCTGAATAAAGTGCTGAATAGTCAGGGGCAGATTTCCACCTGAATCACTTGGGGCATTAAACATGAATTACAACAAAGGGTCACGTACGATCAAGCAAACATTTTCTAGAAGTGCTACAACATTTACTATTATGTAAAATGACAGTTCTCCGCACCCTGTGAACACGGACAGAGTCGGAAAATACTATGCATGAAAAAAGACTCGTTATGTTGATTGGACTAGGCAAAAATAAGGGCATCCCGACGAACCAAAAGTGTTCGGGGAAAAATTAGGGACACATAAAATTGTACATCGGACAAGTCGAAAACCTAAAAAGGCAGCTTGGGCAAAAAAAGGGTATCCCGGTGGACTGAAATTCTTAAAAGATAGTCCAGACAAAAATTATGGATTAAAGCATACGACTATGTCCCGTTATCTCATCACTTATCTATCAGTAGAAGACTCATCACCCTCATTAACATTTAACGAGGGATCTAGAAGTTAAGATAATGTTCAAGTCATCCATAAATCCCCACAGAGCAGTTTCCACGAAATTATCCCCTACATAGCTATCTGCACAAGCTCATCTTCAACAAAGATACATTCCCCGCAAGTCTAATATGCCGTCACGATAGAAAGTAGGCCATCTTCCATCTGTTAACATAATTGTACTCACTAGCTGATCCCCCTAACGTATAAAGGAGTATGATCTTTTCCCTGGCAATATCTCCGACCTACGAAGTCCCAATCCTCACCAGAGATTAGGTCGTCAGCATAATTCATAGGAATTCTCTTCCCCAACTGAGTTTATTTCTCCAAAACTGTGAAATCCCCTGCATAATTCTCTTCTCCAGCAAGGCTCATCTCCTAAGAAGAGTATTTCTCCAGCAGAGCATTTACTCAGTAGAATATACTCCTAAAGTAGGGTTTATTTCCCCAATAGGGTTTATTTCCCCAACAAAATCCAGTCTCCCCAGCTTGAGTATATCACTCTGACTACTGTAAATCACCTACGTAATTTCTCTCTCCAGCAAAGGGTAGTCCAGACCAATATCCCCATAAAGTTTCTACAAAATCTGAAATCGGGCCAGATATCATTTAATCTTATCCCCCCCCCCCAGACGAGTCGGCATCCATGTCGAAAACTCGGTCAGACAGCACCTTGGAAGGATACCCATCTCTATTATCCCCAGTCAGGGTATATAAGAATTAAACTCCCCAGTAGAGCGATGAATGACCAACGTTCCTGATCTCTTCTCCCCAAGCAGAAATCAACATCCCCCAGCATATTTTTCTCAAACAGAAAGCAAGAGTGCCCAGTAGAGACATTCTAAGTAAATATTGAAGAATTATCGTCACCATCCCCAACAACAATCAGGGATTTATTTTCCTGGTCAAAGATGTTATACAGAGAAATCGAGACACTTCAATGACATCTCACATTCATACATCATCTATCATATCATATGCATGCAAAACACATATAACACATTTCCATTTGCTTTAGGAACTTACACAATGTACTACATACATCATGGTATTACATAAACACTACCTCTATCTTTTTAGGTAAAGTTCACCAACAGACGAACATCACCAACAATTTTCTAATAGGTCGCAGAGTAATTCCTAAAACATGACGGGGCAACTATCTACATGACCAGACAATTTCCTTCAGGAACTGAATTCTGAAAAGCATTTCCTTCAGAGACTAAATATGACAAGTAACTACTTAAGAACTTTCCCCAGAGAGTCATTATGAAAAATATCTCTTCTAGATGAAGTCAAGCGTAGACATCTTCTAGCGCATCATTCAGATGAAGTCAGATGTAGATTTCTTTCTGATACTCTTTTTGGAAAAAAGTCAAGGGTAGACTCCTTCCAATACCTCTTCTAGTTAAAGTCGAGCATAGACATATTCTATTTTAGATGAAATCAAGCGTAGATTCCTTCTGATACTCTTTTTGGAAAAAAGTCAGGCGTAGACTCTTTCCAATACCTCTTCTAGTTGAAGTCGGGCGTAGACATCTTCTAGTTCAGATGAAGTCAAGTGTAGATTCCTTCTGATACTCTTTCTGGAAAAAATTCAGGCATAAACTCTTCCCAATACCTCTTCTAGTTGAAGTTGGGCGTAGACATCTTCTAGTTCAGACAAAATCAAGCGTAGATTTATTCTGATATTCTTTTTGGAAAAAGTCGGGCGTAGACTCATTCCAAACTTATCTTCTAGACAAAGTCGAGCATAGACTCATTCTAGTATATCATTCGGATAAAATCAAGTGTAGATTTATTCTTATATTATTTTTGGACAAAGTCGGGCGTAGACTCATTCCAAATGTATTCTCTAGACAAAGTCGAGCGTAGACTTATTCTAGTATATCGTTCATACGAAATCAGGCGTATATTCACTCTGATATTCTTTTTGACAAAGTCAGATGTAGACTCATTCCAAATACATCTTTTAAGACAAACTCATCGTAGAATTATTCTGATATTCCTATCAACAATTACTCTAGATGGCATCTATAAGTCCATCTCCGACGACTCTCCATCACCTCTCCAAATGACATCTTTAATCCTATTCCCGATATAACCAACCAACAATGTTACTTCGTGCACAAGCGAGTGCAAATTTATGGGCACTTAAGTGTTCAATCACCGTCTACCTTCAAGTCGCGAATGGAGGACATGTCAATCTAACTCTTAATTTTAAGAATATTGAACAGGGGCAGCTGTTGTACCCTAAAATTTATCCTCCCATTTTTTCTTCAAGACATTCTTAAAAGGTCCTCAAATGCTCAAGGTGGCTCAAAAATTGACCAGACAAATTCTCATCATAAGCAATGGGTCCACAACTAGGGTTTTGTGTTTCACAAGGAAGATTGGGTTCTAAAGGTCTCAATTGGTTTTAATGGTTCTCCATAGGTCTTCAAGAATGCTCATGTCAAGTTTCAAGCCTTGCATCATAAAGTTGTTAAGTCAATGACTCAGATGAATAAAAATCAACTGTATTGGGTAAAAAGTCAATTGTGGTCAACATACAGCCAAACTTCAAGATTTTTGGTCAACATCAACATTTTGAGGTCATATCCATCAATTGATCAAGGGTTGATCATGATTCATTAAGGAGACTCTCAAATCATCAAAAGTCAAAAGTTTCCAAATTAGGGTTTCCTTAGGAGAAGTCAACTGCACTTTGACCAAACATAACTTTCACACGCTTCATCAGCTTTTCCCCAACAAAATCCCATTTTGAAGGGAATTCAATTCTCTATAACTTTGACTCTCTGTGCTCAAACCCAAAAATGCATCATTTGAGAGATATAAGGCAATACATTACAGGTCATTTCAAAAGTCAAGAAAAAGACACTTTTTGTCAAGGTAACTTACATCAAGATAAACTCTTCAAAAGTAAAAATGATCAACATTAGAGGTTGCAGAGGACATCTTGAGATTTCCAAAAGTCAAAGATCACCTTAAAAAGATAAAACTTGACAGAGTTATGATTGGTGCAATTTGGGAAATTTTGAGGAAATGCATGAAGTTCAAATTGAACAAGCTTGATATTTTGGACTATTGGTCCATGGGTTTAAAGTCCAAACGCGTGTTATACTCCTCATACACCTCAAATATTGTTCTTACACCTCTTGACCTTTTTTATTTTAATTATTTTAATTATTTTTTATTAATTAATTAATAATGCAAAATAAATAAAATAAAATATAAAACCCTTTTACATAAGGTCCAAGCCCATATTTTATTTTCCTTAATTTCAATTATATATTCTCATCCATTCTCTTCATACAGGCAAGAAGAAACCCTTATTACACATTCATGCAGTAAACTGGTACCTATACCATAAAAATTCATAAACTTTTGACCAATTTTTCATATAATATACACACAATTGTTAACCTATATAGTTTTTGTTTTTGCCGTATGTCCAAAACTAACTTCCTCCACTAATCTTCAATCCCATGCAAAAGAACCTCCCTGTAATCACTCACCATTCCGTACCACTATCAATCTTCACTGCCCTTTTACGAATCATATGCTGAACACCATCATCATCTTGTGAGCTTTCACTCACCAACTTCATACTCCCTTCAATTTCCGATCTTCGACCATCATCAATCCAACTTCCAACTTCAACTGTTATCTCTCCATCTCTCATCTCTGTGACTATTGTACGCCCAAACCACCATATCGTTCTCTCTCCGTCATCCTCAGGTAGCATACAACCTCCGTATCACTCTGTGAAACAGAACCGGAAAAACAATGACACCTCACAAATTTCATCCATTGTAACACCACCTCTCCTTCACCAATCCTTCAACCTTCAAGTCTCATACCAATTTCACAACATTAATTTCCAACTGCCTTCATAAATCAGGAGTAAAATTACTAGCTCCTTCAATCATGTCTCAAATGATTCGGAAATAGAATCCATGAATTCAACATAATCTACAACCTGCAAATACAATAATGCGATAACAAGCAACATTTTGTTTTTTTTTATGACAGGAATTGTGTATTCAAGTTTTTTTGTAGAAAATAAAGGTTGAAATCGAAACCGAAAAGAAAGAAAGCAATCTTCGGAGAAGCTGCCGCCATTGTCGACTCAGATGCGAAGCACCATCTAACATCCTCTTGTTTGAGCTAACATATTCTTGGTTATTTGTTTAATTTTCAGGAATGAATAAGAGATTGGGGTGAGAGTTGAAAGGAGAAAGGTTTGATGCTATGAAAAAAGATGAAGAAGGGAAAACAGAGAAAAAAAGAAGATAACTCGTGGAGAGAGAAACACTTGTTTTTAATTATTTGCTTTTGGTCTCTAAAAAGACAAAAAAAATGGCGTTTGGATCCATATCACTAACATAAAAAAGTGATTGCCTAGTGGTAACGCAGGTGATTGAAAAAGTAAAGGGCGTGGGTTCAACACCTATCACTAGCACTTTGAGTCTTTTTTATATTTTTCATATTTTGCAGGTATAAAGTATAACACATTGATGCCTCTCTTTAATCATGAGAATGCGCTTGGCCGGGTGGTGATTGTGATGCTGGAAGTCCTAAGGGCATGGATTTGGTTTAACACTCACCGTTACTCATTTGATTATTTCTTTTTTCAATTCTCTATTCTCCTTACTCTTTTCCTCATTTTATCATATTCTTTTACAAAACCTTTTTTTAAACCTTAATTTAATTTTAGGTTTTGATTTAATTTTAGGCTTTAATTTAATTTTAGGTTTTTGATTTTAATCAATTTTAGGTTTTATTTAATTAACCTTAATTTAATTTTAAGTTTTTATTAATAAACCCTAATTTAATTTTTAGGTTTTCTCAATTCACTTAAAATCAACCTATATTTTAGGGTTGGCTTAATTTAACTACCTAACTCTTTTTATCAATTAAAGTTAATTTGATTTTAGGTTAATCATCAATTATTTTCATCAAACAATTTTCCTCTTATTTTACAATCTTCGCGTATCTTTATTATTTTCGCGTTAGTTTTTCCCAATTATGTATCTGCTACAGTATGTAATAGTTAATTAGGGTTTACTTTTTTTTTTCTTTCCAATTTTATGGTTTTGTACCCCCTTTCCCGAAGCCTTGTAATAGTTTAGGTTTAATTTTCGCACCTTAACTTTCTGCAATTTACTGCTTTCCTTATAACTACTAGTAATTAGGGCATGTATGGCAAGATCTAAAATCAACCGTTAGATAACCCTAATCAAGATTAAATAACTGAAATCAAAACACTCTTCACACTTACACCTCTAGGGTAACTTCACTTGTTGCCTTCGGAACAAACACAATCATGTCCCTCGAACTTAGAGACGCTTTAGCAAAGTCCTTCCGATACAACAGATCATAGTCCCTCGATGACCCTTCGATGCTGCCTTCAGTAAATGAGCTTAGTCCCTTACGTAAATCACTAAAGCATCCTTATGAGTTGCCTTTATAATTGTACGATGACCCACACCCGTCCCTTCACATCCGACGATAGGGCTTTCTACTATCTAATGGTAGGATATCACTATCTAAGGAGGAGGAAAATAACACTAAAGACATTTGAGTAGGTAGATAACTCGTAATATCTTGCTCACAAAAAAACATCTTTTACACCAAACACTTTTTTTCTGAAATATTTTCAAAAACAAACACTTTGTATGCATTCTTAACTTATACAAGAATCATTACAAAGTTATCGTACTTAGGCAGTTTTCAAATTATTTTCAAAACACATTCACAAAACATTTCAAACAAAGTGAGATAAGCGATTAAGAGTCTGTAGATAACTATGCATGAAAATGGTGCTAACACCTTCCCTTTTCATAACCTACCCCCTGAACTCAGAAAATTCTCAAAGATCTTTCCTGTTATTTTCACCCTTTCCTTATTATATAAAAGAAAATTCGGTGGCGACTCTTGCTATCTACACATTTGAGATAAAACGCAAAAACAAGTCAAATCTCCCACCGTATTACAATCATCATATCGGAAAACCCTGATGATATGCTCCCTATCCTCTTTTTATAGTATTGGCTCTGTAGAGTGCCATAAACATGTCAATCATCTCCCTTTCTATGAGTGGTGGTTGCACACAAGTAGCCAATTCTCTCCACCTCTAGGCATACTCTTTGAAAGATTCATCACTTTTTTGAGCAAGATTTTGTAATTTAACATGGTTGGGGGCCATATTCACATTATACTAGTATTTCTTTTGAAAAACATCAACAAGGTCCTTCCATGTTCGGTGTGTGTCCTATACAATTGCATATACCAATCTTAGGATGCCTCAGTTAGGCTATTTTGGAAGAAATGTATTAATAGTTTCTCATTGTAATCATAGATAGCCATCTTCCTACAGAACATTTGCAAGTGGTTCCTAGGGAAATTGAGACCCTTATACTTCTCAAAGTCAAGCACCTTGAATTTTGGAGGGATAACCACGTCTGTAACCAGACACATGTTAAAAGCATCAATACCAAATGCATTATAACCTTCCAAATCTCTTGGGTGGTTACCCTCAGGATTTGCCACATAGTAACCAAATTAAGGATCCTCAATAACATTAAGAGGTGGGTATGCCCAGTCTGAATAGTAAGATTTCCTTGCATGATAGGGCATTCACTCACATTAGGTACCATTATATGCATAAGTTAAGGTTGAGCAAGATCATCCACTTACAGTGGAGTATAGCCATGAGGAAAACCACACATCAAGTTGGTCACCACGAGTTTCAGGTATGAAGTAGAGATCGGTGTCAGAATGACATTGTTTATAATAGCATGTTGAAGACTATCCTACTTTATTTCCATAGCTAGCGAATCTTTCAAAGTCTGGCCTACTTTTCCTTTCATCACATCCACGTCTTCTCTTAGTGTAATTTGATTCAGCTCTAATTGATCTATTATGCTTCGAGAGCTTCTTCGGGTTTGATATGGGTGTCAGGGAATTAACTTGATGATCATGGAAAAAAGGTTGGATGATTTTTTTGTTCTTGTGCATGCATGCTGATGAATGCAGATGCATAATTTTTTGTTTTGAAAATGAAATGTCATTTCATGTGCGGATGCATCTGAATGATATGTGATATGTTGATAATTTTTCCTTTTAAAAAAAATGAATGCAACGTAGTACCAGATATGGGCTTTGGAAGACGCTATCTAGAATGATATGGGTAATCAGATGAACGAATAACCTATATAGGAAGGCTTCTTATAATAAGATGGTTCTAAGTGTTCTCTACCCAGTGACCACACAATGGTTAGGTCTAGGGTTTCAATTTTTAGAAAAACACCCAGAGTCAAGGATCTTGTTTAAAACTTCACCATAATAATGGGCTAGCCACACCATAATGAAAGCCTCAAAGGACCTCTTCTAGGCAGAGCCTTCGTAACAACCTAGAGCGATGTGTATCTCATAAGTCAATACTACTTGGTCTCCAATCTAAACATTTGACATGGGTTCTAAATAAGGTGCCTAGAGTCACAAACCTTATTCAAAATATCACCACAATAATGTGTTGGTCACACCATGATGAAAATTCTGAATAGATCTACTATAGGTGGACTCTTCGTATTTTCATAATGAGGTGTGCATATCTTAGGATAATATTACGCGATCTTCGACCCTAATAACAAGTTTATGGTTCTAGACAAGGTTACTAGGGTCGTGGATCATATTTGAAATGTCATCACAATAATGGGCTCGCCACACCATGATGAACATATCAAATAAATCTACCCTAGGTGGAGTCTTTGTATTATCCTAATGAGATGTGCATCACCCAGGCCAATACTACATAATATTTGATCCTAAACTTAAGTTGATTTAAGTTTGGGTGTAGAGCTTTACTCGAAGTGTGTAAGTGACAACATATCAACCCAATAGCATATGAATTCATACAAGAGATAAATAAACACTAAAAATATCATATAAGAGATAAAATATGGTAGAAGAAAGAAAATAAACAAAGATAACATAATTGTAGATCTAATTAAATTAGGCTTGACTCTCTTGAAAGATAATCTACATCAGTGTCACCAGCTATCACAACACAAAAAATACCCGAGCGAATGAACGCTCGAAATACAATAGATTCGCCACCAAAGTTTATTTTTGAAAGGGAAAACTTTGATATAGCCCTAAAATAACAAAAAAATGTTCATCGCAACCAAATTCAAGTTAGGGAGTCGATTATGCATGGGGAAGGTATTAGCACCCCACACATCCGTTGTACTCAATGGGAACCATTTAGTCAGTTTTGTGATTATGAGTGTTAGCTTACGTTACTTGATTTCTTCTAATTATTAAAACATGTGTTTAAAAAAGGAAAGAAGAGACTAAAAATAGATTTTTTATTAGGGTGCTTGACAAGATTACGAGTCTAGCTCATACGTATCCTTAGGTGCAATGAGGAATTCAAAGCTACACGGTTCTTAGTAGCAAATGATTATTTGTTGGTTGATTTTAGTGAACAATGTTTAGGTCGCATTCTAGTGGTTAAACATTATTGTTATGCTCATGTGTGGGAGGTTTAAACGTTTCTTTGTATCGTGTTAGAATGGATAAAAACATTGTTTGTTTGTGAAAAGATTTTCAATCGCGCTATGACAGAAAAATGATTTGATGAGTTGAGTTTGTTTTTGGGTGGATGACAAGTATTCAAGCAATGAAGCATACGCCAATCACCCATTTACTCGAGAAGCCTGTGGATGCACATCTAGCCAT